GAACAATAAATCAATTGATCTGGTGCTCGACCCGCCTTCTTTCTCATCCATTGTGTTATTACTACCGACTCCGTCACTAGCGAAAAGAATGGATTTACTGTTCAGATCTACGGCCGCAGATCGCAGCGCTTAAAGTCTGCGGCACCACCAAGGCCAGCTAAATCAGATATAGTCGTAGTTGCAATAAATAAAAGTAAGCAAGTAGGTAATTCGTAGTTAAAAGGTAAAAGACCTACTCAAAAAACCGTCATCATCCTTGAATGTCTTCAGGACCCGCTGACGCTGAATGGCATTTGACGAGGTAGCGTTGTTACTCTTCTTTTTCGGTGACTCCTTAGGGATACTGTGCATCGCCTTATCGACCTTTGGGGAGGGCTGCTTAGATGTAGCTTAAAACACAGATTTTGACAATAAAAGATGATTGTGAAGCAGTGACACAGAAACAATTTTGGATGCGCGCAAACTGAACATCAGGACTATCGACAGAGCAAAGTATTCATTTTAGCTTTTAGTTTTCAGCTCTGATACATCTAAATAGTGAATGAACCAATTAAGTTCCTGGGGCAATAACTGACAAAAATGACGGGCAGTCTGACTGAACTCCAAATTAAAACTCAAAGGCTGGCATCGAGGGATGCCGGTTCGGACCGCTACTGCACGCTGCGTACAAAGCATCCAAAATTGCGATGTATGAGTGGTAATCATGTCCTCCATCCACTGTAACTGACAGACTGTTTGTGCGCGGGCGTAATTTCATAGGCTGTCAGTTGGTAAAATTATTCGGATCTGCTTTGGGACGTGGTTCTTAGTATACTGGCGCACTCCAAATGCGACACTTAAGGTAATACCTCCAGCAACGGAGGGACCCTAGCCCACTGGCCCGTCCCATCCCAAATAGGCCTGACTCGGATGTGCAGCTGGTATGAAAGAAGGACATGAGATAATGGGTTTGTAGATATTCTGATCAAACATTATAGTCCCCTACTACTGACAACCGAACGCACTTTCAGACTGAGGGAGAGCTAGCGGTGTTGAGACTTCGGAGGTTGCCAATCAGAGCGATAACCCGGTCTCACTCACGGCAGTGTCGGGCCACAATGGTCACGCCAAGTGCAAGTAAGTAAGCAAGTAGGTAATTTTTATTTTGAAAGTAAATGACCTACTCAAGAAGCTGTCATCATCATCATTATCGTTGAATGCCTTCAGGGCTGGCTGACGCTGAGTGGCATTTGACGGAGGAGTTTTGTCATGCTTCTTTTTCGGCGACTCCTTAAGGGTCGCCTTATCGACCTTTGGGGAGGACCGCTTAGCTGCATTTTAAAATACA